GGGGGGGGGGGGGGGGCGATCTACAACGTACATGTGCGCAGCGATGGACTGTTTCGGCCACCACGTTTTTGGGGTATCGAGTGAACGTTGAGCGCACAGTCCTCCCTTGAGGTCCAGATGCGCACGTGCGCGACGAGTTGGTGATCGTCGATCTTTCGCTGCAGACGCCAGGTCCGCTTTAAGACGATCAATAGTCGAATTCCTCAACAGTCTCCGTCAACTCTTATCCTGTCCGTCGTTCTGCCTTCGCCACCCTCTCCGCGAAACCGCCCCTACGCACGCACCTGCGGTGCCTATATGTGTGCATCGGGTCGGGTTGCGTTGTTAAAGAACCTCGCACAAGCGTGGTGATTTCGTCGGAACCTCTCTGCCGCTCCACCAAGAGCTGGGAGCTGGTGCCGCGCAATAGCATGGTGATCGTGGAAGGCGCCACTCCCACCGCAATCCCTGCCACGGCGGACACAGCGCCCATCGCTGCTAACAGTAACACCGAAACTGCCGATATTGCGGTGGCCGCCGAAGACGGTACCGACCATGGCACTATCGCTACGTCTTCGACCGATGTATCGTCCAGTGCCGGGGCTGCTGCTGCTGCTGCTGCTGCTCCTGTTTCTACTACAGGGGCTCGGGAAAAACCGTTGCGTATGGGCCTGGTGTCCTCGATCAAGTACGAGCCTCTGCGGTGCCACCCGTCGGATTCGCCAGCGTCGCACGATCCGATATTCCCCGACCCGGTACTGCTTCCAACGTTCTGCGCGAGGGTACCCAGTAGCGGAAGCCGCCGTGCTGGCGCCGGCACCGGCGGCACCACCAGCAGCAGCAGCGGCAGCGGCACCAGCAGCAGCAGCGGCGGTAGCGCTAGGGGTGAAGGAAGCAACCACTTAGTTGCAAAGGGCACCACGGAAAGGTTTGGCTTCGCTGAAGCGGGTGTTGTAAGCGACCGAGGTGGTGGTTTGGGTGATGGTGATGGTGGTGGTGGAGGTGGAGGTACGTGTGGCGGCGGTAGTATCGGTAGCAGTAGTGGACAGAATGAGGGTCGAACAGCTGCTTCTGGTGCATCGACTGTAGCCGCGTACAGCAGTGCTGCGCCCGCCGCGGCTCAGAGGGGTCTGGCGACTACGGTGCAATAGTTAACGAGGCGATAGCGGTGGTCCGAGAGTGGCGCGGTGCTGTTCGAATGTGGAGCGTGACGAGCCCTCGCCAGCGCGTTTTTTCCTTCTTTGAGCTGACACCCGTGCAAGGAACATGGGAACAAGGAACAGAGGTGCTACATGTAAATGTGTTTTGGGTGACCTGCGCAGATACAAGAGATGCCAAGAGCAAAGCTATACCGCACCTGAGAAACATTTGCTGAAACTGACGTGAATTCCGCGCATTGCCTCGTTGAGGTTGTGCATGCCCATTTGGGATGTCGATTTGTTGCTGGGATACTTCGTGGCGTTGTTTTGATAGAACTTCCCCGTCTCGTAAATGAATTTCCGCCTCCAGTCTCCACAGGGCCTTGGCATGATGTGGTAGATTGACGCCCCTCGTAGAATACCGGTTTCTCTGTTGATGTTTGTATTCTTTCTTCTTGTGACGCTGGTGTCTGCGAAATCACACCACATGCAGGGGTGGGGTACGAGTTGACCAATGAATGTTGGGTCGCTGGAGAGCGTCTATAGCGAGCGAAATCATCGATCACGAGCGCCAGCAAGGGCTTTCGAGTGAGCCAAAGAAAAGCGCACAGTGACACGGGCCTCTTGTTCCCACCTCAGTATCTTTTCGTAACAGACAGTGACGGCGAAAACTAAAAAAATTCGCATGATCGAAGCATACCTGTTCCGGTCGAAGATACTTGAGATGGGGGTTCATATCACTCACCGTCTCACTGTGCGAAAATACTTTTGGAGGCGGACGACGAATCGCGTGTGCGGCATTTTGATTGGATAACATAATCCCCAACGATATCCAACTGCTAAAAAATACCCTACGATTCGACCGGTGGAATCAGCACAACGGCAACATCGTTAGCATCTTTGAAGGTGCTGCGAAATCTCGTCGTTCGGTCTGTTGTCGTTGTAAGCTCTTACTCCAAGCGATGCTGCTACTTCTCGGCGTTGGGGCCACGTGATACTCAGCAAGGTGTGCAAGGGAAGACCACCAAGTCTCCATCTCGGCCGTTGACCAACCTATACTCAAACAGACGATGTTGTCAAAACAGTTTGAGCACGAGAGTGCGACATCATGCAGACGTGAAGCTGAGCGCCCTCTGACATGACAGCAATGCTTTGCGGCTTGAAGACCATGGCATGCTTTTAGCCGTCGGCGGGGCCATACCTGTCGAGTTCGTGCGCGAAACAAATATTGGAGGAGGCTTTGTCATCGGCACCGTGGTTGTAATTCTCGCTTTGCCTACCGCCCCTCCCCCCGCGCGCGCACGTGTCGGAAAACTAGGCTCTTGCTTCACCTGTCATTCTGCTGCTCTCTCCGGTCTCTCTGCACACAGTCAGTCTGCATCGGAAGGCTCAGCACCAACCACCCGCGCACGTACGCTCCAGGAGGTGAGAGCAAAGGAGAGCGACGAGAGCAAGGTGTTGCGCGAGCATCTTGTTTTCTGGCGCAGCGTGTGCAGAGTACACAGCATGTCTTGGGGGTGTGTGCTGCGGAACAAGCATCAAAGTAGCGGCTGACGCGGCGGGATGGATATACACATGTAGAACAGGAGGATCTGAGTGGTAGGAACAGCAGCCAGGCAGCAGTGATATACACTTGCTTCAGCACAGCAGGGAATTGCTCTATCGGTCGTGGTACAACTCGCCTTGAGGCCAGCGCGCCTCTCTTTACCATTAGGCAGTACTCATAGTCGTGCATGCCGTAGTCGTTAGACCATTGACCTCGCATCCCTACAAAGCCGGGACGGAGCACGCCGGGTTCTCACCGGACCAGGCTCTCACATCACCAAGCGCGAAACGCCGTGAGGTATTCGGCGAGTCGCATGAAGAGTGCGCTGAATCCTGCGAAGGGTGTTCGGCATCTTGTGCCTTCTTCCTTGCGTACGGATGACAGCTGCGTATGACTTAATCTATTCTCTGGTGATTTTACTTCCGGAGACAGTTGAAAGCACGGTGTAACTGCCTCGAGGATGCGTGACCATTTTAACACAGCGTGGTGCGATCATCCCCCTTGCGCGGAGCGAGGGTTGTCCACCCCGCACAACATGATCTACTCGACCATTGCGATTACCGCCAAAAAATAAACGAAAAGGTAAAAAGAAAAAGGGTATCCTGGTTGCCGAATTCACGAAGTGAATTGGCTTGTTCTACAACGTCGTTGCCAAGCGACGAAAACCCAATCTCGATGGCAAACACCGGGGGGGACCATCTAGGCAGTAGCGGGTAAATTGGGTGCTGGAAAATCTATGGTCTGCGGTCAGTGAGGTTCCAGGTGGATGAGCCACATCACAGCGTAACATGACGATGGATCCATGTGCAGATATGGGATGGTAGTGAGAGGAGGTAAACGCCAGTATCCAAGCAACTACTGGGGGCGGGCGATCTTGGGTACTGGACGTCGGACTCCACCAGTACTTCGGTGATGTCCATACGAGCATCGGTCTTTCTTTGTCTGTTGGGCCAACTTGGTTGGGCACAAAGAGCAAGTCATTTTCCCTGCAGCATCGGACACATCGTGTCCTAATTTTGTTAAGCAACTCGATCCACGAAATATCAAAACAACCACCGAACGCTGCAAGGCACAGAATGGCGAGCGCGAATGTATCGTCTCCGTACGGCCGCTCTTCCTGGCACGACTCTCACTCCATATCGCCAGCTGTAATCCCCACTCCTCTATTCCCGCACTCGCCGGAGACCTCTTTGTCCCTCCATTATTTGCCGTCCGGTATTCACTTTTCTTCCCCTCGCTGCCTCGGCAAGGTTTTGCGTAGGCATGACCCGTAGCGAGGGGGGGTCTTTCTAGCGAGCAGGGCTAGACTCACCCTCAAGGGACTGATACCTTCTTGCTGCGGCGCACCCGCCGCTAGGCGTGCGTAGTGGTTGAGTTGGGTCGGCACTGGTGCGTCAGGTACAAAGGTGCAGATGCGCGGGCCTCCAGGCCGTCGGTGTAGGCAGCAATGCCCATCTCATCTTTGTGCGCGGAGGCAGACGTCATCATCAGAAAGGTGGACGGGCACTAACTACACGGCCCTAGGTTTGCTAGAGGGAGCTGTACTGTCTCAGTAACCTGGTTTTGCCATCAAAGGCGGAGGGGACAGATGGTGACGAGCTGATTGGGCTGGTTGACCCTTCGGCGCGAGAACCTTCAGACCAAGAACCCTAAGTGCAACGAGGGAGAAAGCCAGGAACCGACTGGGAAGGACAGCAACGAGAGCGTGCACGAAGCGGAGCGGGTCGAGTTTGGTCGTGCTAGGACTGGCCACAGCGGCACCGGAGCAGCGGCACCGCAGCAGCGGAACCGGAGCAGGCGGACGGCATCGAACCGTGGCGCACGGACAAACATCTCTTCTATTGTCAATTATTTTTCCGTTTTTTTCCTGAATACAGGTGTTGGGTGTGTATGATAACGTCACTGGTTTTGTAGAGAGACGCGGCAGAGATGGCGCGGATAACCCGGGTGCCTTAATTGTGTACCTGCATCGTGGAAGACCCCTTCAATGTGGAACGATTCCTAGTCAGTGTCGATGTTTACACTGCTGTGACTAACACAGATGATCTGGATAGATTTGGGTGATTGTCAATTGCAATAATGGCTTTGGTAGGGCGTTCTTCTTCATGGTATGTCCACGGGCTCATTCTGACAGCACTTCAGACAGCAGCTCCATGCCCCGAGCTTGTGTACCATGCACCATGATGTTATTATTGTACAGACAGCACTTCAGACAGCAGTACGCTGTAGACTAGTCGACAAATNCCTTCAATGTGGAACGATTCCTAGTCAGTGTCGATGTTTACACTGCTGTGACTAACACAGATGATCTGGATAGATTTGGGTGATTGTCAATTGCAATAATGGCTTTGGTAGGGCGTTCTTCTTCATGGTATGTCCACGGGCTCATTCTGACAGCACTTCAGACAGCAGCTCCATGCCCCGAGCTTGTGTACCATGCACCATGATGTTATTATTGTACAGACAGCACTTCAGACAGCAGTACGCTGTAGACTAGTCGACAAATAGTCATTTTGGTTAAATGCGGGACAAGGGGGGTGATGCTGCTGCTGTAGTCTATTTGTAGTGTGTGGGCGTGTAGTTCAGTTGTGAGCACGCAAACGTGCTGCAGGGATTGCAGGTGTACCTCCTCGGGCTTGTGTACCCTTTTCTCGATAATAGTGTGTGTGTTCTTTAGATCTTCTGATGGCTCTAGCATTATTGTGACCACGAGTCTTCGCTAGATTTTGGGATTAGCAACTGACACGAGTTTAATGTGAAGAAAAACAACAACAAAACAATTGACTGCCCGATCCTGGGATCCTGTGTTGGGTTAGACCTCTCCCTTGTGGAATTCTCCGCAAAAATCCGTTGGAAAAAGGGGAAAAACGAAAAAGAGCCTTCCACCGTGCCCAGGATTATGGCCGGCAGACTACTGTAGACTAGTCGTCATAATACTGTACTTGATTGAGCATTGTGTGCGTGCTTTCGAAATTCTGCCAATAGTCTGAGACTAGTCTAGTTGCTCAAGCGCACACACGAACACAAGTAGAGCGTGATCTTACATTCTCCGCCCGGTAGTCCATAACGAAAATAAACGTGGTACCCACGTATCCGGAGCACCCCTGTTTCAACTGCTGTAGGATGGGCCGGTGGACGGTTCTCTTTGCTTGACTACTGTATACCTCAATAGTGTCCCGGGCTCTTCTTGCGCTGTGCTCTTGGTGCGGTATATCTACTGCTGTATGTGCCGATGAAGCCCGATTTTTATTAGTCTAGACTATGTGTGCATAGTGCCAACTGCCGTTGACAGGGTCTTGATACCATGGTGTCTACGTAGTCTGCAGGTCAGCAGCGGTAAATGATTTTCCCCCGATAATGCCGGCTCGTGCTCGTGTCTACGGTGTACTCAAGCATGAAGATGACGAAGATCAAGACGCTCTTCCTGCTGCTTGTCGGAGTCCTCATGCTGGGCTCGGCGCACGGCAGCAACAACAACAACAACGACGACATCATCAACAACGACGACGACAAGATCTCCTCCCACGACCAGGATAGGTAGATGTCGGATGAACTCTTTCTCAAGCCCCCGACTTTCAAACTACTGCTCGCTGCCAATCGTGTAATGGGGCATGGTCAAGCAATGGACTACAGCAGTCTAGAGAGTGCACACCGACCACGTTCCATCTGGTGTGCTCACAACTACCACCATCTGCTGCCCTACACACACTGCTCTTGGATTGTCGGTGTGGCGTTATTGGCTGCGAATATCGTCTACGTAGGCGTTATAGTCCCAGTTCAACGGTATTGCTGCTGTACTCCACAGCAGTAGTTCTGTAGGCTGTGGCAAGAGGCGCTGCCATTTGTGCTAGGTTGGCGTCGTCAGCAGGACTGTCGTACGGTAGTTCCCCCGCATTTTCGTAGCTTGCTGTCGACTTCGTAGATTGCTGTGGGCACACTGGTATGCAGGTTTGATTATCAGAGTCCAGAATATTCGGATTAACCCGCGCTCTTCCACACTTTTCTGCTGGCGCTGAGCTACATAGAGCAGGGCCCCCATCAAAGTGAGTGAGATCAGCTCCTGTTCTCCTAGGATAGTCGGGTTCGCCCCACGTCGAAATGGAGT